CTTTATTTTATATAGCGTTTTAAACAAATAAGTAATTAGATTGCTCATAAACCTAATCACTTGCTTTTTCTTTTTATTTAGGCTCAGATTTCAACTATAGATCATATTATTAATAACCATAATAACAACCAACCAACAAAAACAATACCAACCAAAAACATAGATAACCACAATACAAAATCAAATATATCAAACCATTATACTCTCGCAAATTCCTTCAATTATGGAGTCAGATGGCTACGGGTCCAAGAGGACTGAGGTGGTAGAGTTGTTGGTAGTTCCAGGCTAGAGGTTGGAGTCTGGTTAGAGAAGGCCTCAAGGAAACAATTCCAAAAAGTGGTGAGAAGAAAGAGTAGTCAAATGGTCCAATACTAGAAAGGCCTGTATTTCAGTAGCCAGAGGTTCAAGGATGTTGCAGGCTCAGGTGGCAGATGGATTCCTACAGTCATACCAAACAATGTTAGCAGGTGAACTGAGGGTTTAAATAGTGAAAGAAGGCGCGTGAGGCAAATTGGGTAATGAGGGGTTAATTAGGACCAGCTGCAGCTGTAACAATAGGTAGGTCATACAATCAGGATTTTTTTTATCTTCTAATTAGGACTTCTTACTCTTACACTATGCAGGATTTTGGATATCACTCTTGTATAGGGCAGACTTCATCAGGGTTTTATAAGTAGCATAAACCTTTGTTGTTGTGGCAAGAGGTTACTTTCTAAAACCACTTTTACATACAAACACTGTTGCTACTTTTCCTGCTGTAACAATTGCTTAAAATAGCAGTAAAACAAAATATAGATTATGTTAATGTGTAAGTCAATCTGAAAAAAAAACACTGTTTTCACAATAGGCTATAATAATAAATTACCTTTTATATATATGAATGAGCAATTTTGCTTTATTTAGTAATTTTGAGAGAGGGTGCCAAAAGTCTGCAGCCCACTGAAGAAGAGGAAGAAGAGGGTGGGTGGAAATTCAAATGGGGATCCAGTTGCAACAACAAAGGGGAGCACAACTGGACCCTAGTGTGCCCTGAGCTCAGAGGAAAGGAGTTCAATTTGAAGAGGGTTTCTAAAGGTTAGAAACCTTTGAAGATAAAGCACCAGAGCAGGATCTTGTTCAAGAAGCCCAGCTGAAGGAGCAGTGGAGTTTACATGTTCAAGGATTCACAGTTTCACAAGGACACGTGCTCCAGCAGCTGGGAAGAGTTAACTGAGTTTCAGCAGCTGGCTGTCAGAGTGTGGTTCTAGCAGGAACAGATGCAGCAGCTAGTTTACCCTACTGTATCTCTACAGGACATTCTCCAGTCGATAATACACCTCTTCAGGACTCCTTCTGAAACACCATTAGTTTTTTACACTTATCAAAAGTTGGTTCAGATATTTAAATAAAAGAAAGCACTTGACCATTGGAGATGATGGTCAACATATTATATAGACTACAACAAGCAAAGGTAAAAAAAGATATTAGAAAAATCAACAGAGGATATGTGAAAAAAGAAATGAATGTTGTAATGGGGGCTAAAATAACATTTGTTTCAGTATTATCACAGCAAGAGAACAGTAATGAAGTAAAATTGAAATCTCGGACCTTGAACAGGCTACTTATTAAAACCATTTAAGTTTTCTATGTCTCTATAAGAGGGCAACTGGATCTGGAGTGTCAAGTATATGAACAGGACACCAGAGGGAGGCGCATAGATACTCTAGGGGAGAATGTGTGTTCAATCAGCAGGAGGTTATCAGGGGATTGGTGTCACCTGTGTGAAGTCAGGCTTTCCTATATGAGTATTCAGGGAGTGAACTGTTCCCGTCGGCTCAGGGGAGTCAGATCCCCCCCACTGACAGGCATGATAATGAGACGATGAGTTACACATTGAGACCTAGGGCTTGTGTTCAGATCCTCACCGCCAGATTTGGTAGTGAGACTCAGGCTCTTGCAAATTGACCTAATGAAAGATCAAACCCCAGAAGGGGGCCGGTACCAACTGCAGCCCTGGATAAGATTGAAAAAGGCTACAGACAGGCTGTTCTGAGGGTGAAAGAGAGCAGGGCTGTCTGAGGGAAATGTCTGCTCAGGTTTGAGTAAGACAGTCAGTCAAAATTCAGGGAAAACTTTGTGGAGAAACAGTTAGGTAGTATTACAAACTTAAACTTAAACGTCACAGCTAGTGGGGTAAGAAACCCCCACAAAGTGGACCAGTCAGAGAGCTCATGAGCCAGTGATTCAAGAGACACGCTCTATGGAGGGTTTCCTCCAGGACCAGGCCAGGCATGCGCTGTCAGCTCGGTCTCCCAGGTTCAACTCACTAACTGAGTCAGGGTGCAAACAGAATCAGATACCCAGGCATCCTCTGGATCAAAAGGGGGAGACATCTGCGATGGACAGGAGGCAATGGACCAATCCTAAATTCACTCTCAGCTCTCAGAACTATACGTCCCAGTCAGAGCCCAGGAACAGGAATCCACAGGGAGGCCAGGCTAACAGGGAAATGCTCTCCAGACAGAGCGGACAAGGATGTCTGACTACCCAGAAAGGAAGAGAAGGCTCTGTTGGGAGGCAGTAAGGAGACTTGAGAAAGAAAAGTTCTCAAACAGCCTGAGAGAAAAGGGTGAGGAATAGAAAAGAGCCCTCAGTCAGGAAAGGAAGTTCCCATATGAAAGGCCAGAAAGGCGGCAGGAAAGAAGACAGAAAAGTGCTAAAGTGAAAAAATAGTGCTAGGGCAGGTCTCTTAGTGAAAAAAACAGGGTGAGGCTGCATGGGGACAGTCCTTGGGTCCTGGATGACATAAGGTGCCTTGTGGAAGCGGATGGGAACCATAGGGGAGAGAGGCCAGTGGGAAGGAGTTCAGGGTTCAGTGCAGAGGTCAGGAGCTGCTGTGCAGTCAGGAGCTGGGTGCTGCAGTGCAGAGAAAATCTAGGAGGATCATTGGAACATAGTCAGAACAGACTGATTCAGCGGCGAAAGGAGAGGGTGGTTAGTGTCCAGCCTGGGGATCTCTACCATGGCAAATCAGCCTGTCGACAGGAACTGGGCAGCCTCAGGATCGAAGAGGAATCCTGTGCTGAGCTCCCAGGAAAAAATCTCAGCCTTAGAATGAAATCCTGATGCTCAGCTCCAAGGTAAACTTGAAAGTGGAATCATAATGTCGACAAACAAAGACAGGTGTGCTGACAGGCTTAAGAATCCAGGGTGGGTGGGGCACCTAGAGAAACTGCTGAGGCATCTGCCCAGGGAACCAGAAAACAGGAGTGCAGACAGGACGGTGTGAAATGAATAAAAATGAAGCTGAGAACAAAAGCAGCTTAGTGTACAGAAAGGGAGTGAAGGGGGTGAAATGAACAATGACGAAGCACTGTTAAAGCGGTGGCTCTGCATTAAATAGGGAAAGAGAAATTGAGTAATGAATAGTATAATTGTTAATTACTAATTAATACAGATCAGTGAAGGAAAGTCTGGCTTGTACAGCTTGTCCTGGAAAACCATGAGCCCTCATGAGAAAGTAACAGTTTCGCAGGGCAATAACACTATATTCGCACGGTCATAAAGGGACTATTATAGAATTAATAATTATTAATGAATTTACAGCTGTTATTAAAGATTTCTACAAATCTTTTATTTGCTTTCACCAAGACAATAAGACTCAAGACAATGGGTCAGACGTCACTAACCTTCCAATCTGTATGATCGACCAATGAGGGACCTAGAGGATATCTAGATATATCTGCTGACATCCCCGTCAATCAACAAATGTGATTTCCTGTTTTAATAAGGTAGCACACAAGTCATTTCATTAGTTTGCTCACTGGCTCAGCTTTTCTCTCTCTTACCTGGCAATCTGTTTTCACCACGTGACTGCAAGCAGTCTGAGTCAGGACTTGTTCAAAGACTACAGTACAAGGCTGAGAGAGTGCAACAGTAAAAAAACAGAAGAAATATTGTTTTTCATGAGACAGTTATGTTTTGCTTTTTAGGCTCTTTTGTCAGACATGTTGGATAGTAAATACATATTTAGTTGTCATTGAGAATATCAATGTGATGAAACCGTAAATATATATATATAATATATATGATACTGATATGAGATTCATATAACCTATGAGGTATACAATAACAATAATAGATATATTTTAATTGCTGTTATTTACTCATCTTTAATCCCTGAGTGATTGATCAACAATTCATATTAAAGCAGTTTGATTCAAAAATATATTATTTTACTCTAGTTGGTTTGTTATGCGTGTTTTAGTGTTGTATCAAAGTATATAGTGTATATTTAGAATCCATGTGTGAGACTTATCATGTTTAATTGATTCCTACTGTAACAGTCGTCCAAGTACATTCATTCACACACACTGACCTTGTCTGTCCTTCTTCTGAGAGACACGTTCATACACTAACCTTGGTCAGTCTCCTGGAATCCTCCTGTGCAGGAATTCTCACGTTCATCTGTAAGGTCACTCACAGCTCTTCCCACATCCTGAGCATAAAGAGAAGAGAAAGTTGTGAGACTCCAGGAAGAGGCATGATGGACTGATTTAAAGGAATCAAGAGATCTAAAGTTTTCAGAGAAAGAGAAGGACAACATCCATTCTGGAGTAAGATTAAGAGACCATCCCTCAGTGTTTCTGTACTAAGATACTGAGTTCTGGTCACTAATGTTTTACACTGTACAGTACATGTGAAATAAAACAGCACACAGACACTCAGCTGTCCTCAGTGATGAGTGTGTTTTACTTCAGCCACACTGGTCACTACAGATCTCTATCTGTGACCTCAGAGCAGAGATGACAGAGCACAGAGACACACAGAGCCATTCAGCCCTTAGCTTTTCACTGTGAATCAGCTGGTGAAAAGAATGTCAATATTCAGGACTGGTCTGATCTCATTTAACAGATGATTGACTGAAGCCTCTTACCTGTGTCTGTTGCTCTTCTGACTTAAATATGGTGTCATGGCCAATGTGTTCCTGCACTGAGCACAGACTGCAGATGAGAGTCTGGTCAGTCTTACAGAACACCTCCAGAGCTCGGTGGTGCTTCTGGCACAGTCTGGGCTCCTGGTATCCACTGATGTCCACCAGTCTGTGTCTCTGCAGGGCTGGGACTGTGTAGTGCCATCGGATGTGTTTCTCACAGTAGGAGACAGAGCAGGTCAAACAATATTTCACAGCTCTGAGCTTTATCTGAGTGCAGAAATCACAGCACAAGTGTCCAGGCCCAGTAAAACTGTGAGGAAAAGAAAATAATATCGAAGATCTTCACAGTATATGTTTAAATCAGAGACTTATTTAAATAATGCTGCTTACACAAACAAAATACTGTATAGGCCCAGGAATTCAGGACCAGAGAAAAAACAACCATAAAGAGTTAGACAGGAAGGGGGGGACAAAGCTCAGGACAAGAGCAGAGACACACAACCACACACAGAGATGAGGACGGGAGAACAGGCACAGACGCATTTTAAAGTAAATTGTCATAGTTATGCAAACAGATTGTTATTCTGTTATTGATGCTCGTTTTCTTTATTAAGAATGTTTGCTATTCCTTACTGTTCTGTTCTCTCAGGAATGTACTGTACATATTGTCTTGTCTATAGTCTACTTCTATAAATATTTAAAAAAATATTTAAATGTAAAATTCCAAGTCTGATATTTTTTCTGTAAAAAACCCAACAAATTATTGAATTTGAAAATTGATAAAGTCCAACTATTTGGTTTTATTCACAAGCTGTCCAGTCTGAAGCGATGAGGCAGACAGGCAGACCACTGATCCTGAACAGTGCTGCTCATTCACATATAGAGCTGCTGAAGTGAGCCAGCACAACCCACAGTGTATGACAGCCTTCTTGTAACAGCTCCCTCTAATTCATGACAGCTCATGGCAGTTCATGACCTGGTGCTTCAAGACATTGTCTGGTCTTCATATGACTTGTACAACATGCTGCAAATGGGACACACCTGTGTGTGATGTTTTATTATGGAGAAACTGCTGCACAACAGCCTGCACACATCTTGACTAAATGAGACCTTGATCCATTGGCCTGGAGCCCCAGATGTTTTGAGGTCTCATTAAGCTGTAGCCTTCATTTACCAGATCAGATGCTTAGATATTCCAAGTGGATAATATTCATCCACCATTTCTGCTGGAGAGTCACAGCTGCTTAGCTGAAGTCACACATAGATCATGTAGCTGGCGATGTTGTAAGTCTAAGTGATAAATCAATGTATTTTACTTGGGATCTTCTCATCTCTTACCACTTTAGTCCTTCATGCAGACAGATTATATAATTATTTAAATTTCATATATAAATCATTCTCTGGTCCACTTTAAAAATATAAATCTTATAAAAGCAGCATAAATTCAAAACGTGAATGTGAAAATGGGAAAATCCAGCAGGTGCAAGTAGTGCTCCAGATTTACAGCGCAAAACTACAATCACTAGAGGAGCCCATTCAAGCAGTATAGCCAGTTTTGTCGTTAGCAGCAAATTGATTCAAGGTTCTCAGACTGTTGTTCTTGAAAGACATTTGAGGACCACATGGCTGTGTTAAGTGGATAATGTTCTTCCAGCTGCACTGGTTTGACTTGGCTAGAGCTCTGTATGCTGTCCTAATTGGCCATTATGGTGACAGTAGTCATATGCCTGAAGGATTCACAATCTAGAAACTGTCAAGGAGCTGGACTTGGTAATCCAATAATTATAATAAGAGTGTGATGGACACAGCCCTAGTGGAGGTTGTGCACTAGGTCCCCTCCTAGTGTGGAGCTCCTCTTTCTCACTCTAGTGGTTGATCTGTTGAAAGGTCAGCTTTCATGGACACACACCTGGGAGCTGGTTCTACTGTATACATCTCCATTTCTGTCACATATGATGTGAAGACAACTTCAAGGGCACAGATATGTTTTGAGAAATCCAGGTCCTTTATTCTGCTACTCATCGCTGCTGTATTCAATTACAGCTCTCTGTTCCTCACCCTGTGTGTGTCTCTGATTATGTCTGCAGTGGATATACACTCTTTCATCCATTAGTCGTGAGAAAACACTAGCTCTAGAATTTTGTTTTGATTTTCAACAGTTTTCAGCTGTCAGGTATTTATTCTTCTTAAACTTTTTACAGAACAAAGAAAATAAGAAAGGGAGAGAAGATCCAGTTCATGAGCTGCTAACAATTACACTCAATGGACAACAGTGACCTCACCTGGGGTCAGTGGCGAAGGCTCCAGCTCTGAAGTATAATGGTTGCTCCATTGAACAGTCACTCTTCATGGACACACAGCTGGACACTGGTGATCCTGGTCTGTCCAGCTTGACCCTGTGAGCAGTAAAGACAGAAACTCCTATCCTTGAACTGACAGAAGCTTTGTGTAAAGAAGGCCCCCTTGTGCTCAGTTTGAATGCCCTTTCTTGTAGTTTCAAATCATGTCTCTTGCATTCTGTATCACTGCTGATAGTGATTCAGGTCACTGGGCTGAGTGCATCAATATCTTTAGGATTTAAACGGTTTCCCTGTTTTATTGCTTTCTGTCACAGATGTCAGAAGGGAGAAACCGTGGAGAGGCCAGAGAGCGAAAAAGACCCTATGCAAATCGACGGAAAGGGGAGTTAACCCGGGCTCGGCAGAGCAAAGAGTTCTGGAGTGCCGTATAGAAACCTATGCCCTCAGGCCACGGACGGAGCAGCGACCTAGTGCTAAGCAGGTCTCAGGACATCCGAACGTCAATGCCGAGCAAAGCAGAATAAAGGACCCGGAAATATATAGCCCCAGAGAGAGAGAGATACCGGAAGGATAGCAAAGCACAGGAAACTAGGGACAGGACAGAGAAGGAGCAACCTCTGGCTACAGAGGGCGTGACACTTCCCCACATTGTCTAGAATAAATTATTTTATACTATGTAATGCAGGTATCAAGTATTTACCTACACCTACCAGTGTCTATCTACTAATACAAGTCACCCTGTTGACTCTGAACCCACAGGACTACATGACTCTCTGGTCAGGTTCCACTGTGAGGACGAGGGGCTGGGCCTTGTAAACTAATAATTACAGTAATAGTGTGATGGAAACACCCATATTAACAATAATTACAGCTGACAACTCCCTCAGCATCATCAAGTTGTCATCAATCTGCTGCCAATACAACTGACAGGGAATTCAGCTCAATAAACCCAGGCTTATATCATTGTGTAAATGAATTGAGAGCCCTAGTAGACCTTTTTTCCTTCATCTTAACTGTGACAGGACTGAAGTCATGTTTATTGGCACCCCCATCATTAACTTTGTAAAGCCAATCAAGTTTCTTGTCAATGTCAAAATCCTCATGCTCACCTATAAGGCTCTGTATGGCTTGGCACATCAGTACTTGTCTGATCTATTATCACCCTACTCTCCATCTCACAACCTTTGCTTTTCTAATTCTGGTCTACTAACTGTCCCTCAAGCCCATCTACACTATGGCTGACAGGGCCTTCTCCTGTTGTGCGCTAAAGCTTTGGAACTCTCTCCGCAAGGATATCAGAGAGTGACCTTCTCTAAACTCCTTCAAATCCAGACTCAAACCTTCTTCTTTAGAACTGACTTTACTTAACTGTCTCGTCTGCGTTTTCTCATTGTGTTTATGTAGTGTATTTTTATTGTTTATTTTTAGTTGTTGTTGCTGTTGTCATTTTGTAAAGTGCTTTGAGAAGCCACCTTTAAAGGTGTTATATAAAAAAAGTTTTTTATTATTATTATAATATACTGCAGTGAACCTCTGAAACCTGATTCAGTCTCCCTTTGTAACTGTTGAACCCATGTTCACAAGGCACCCTGTTTAATTTAAGTTGGTGGACAATTGTCCCTCTCTGTGCATTTAGTCTCCCCTTCTCGAGCCTTCCCTGAATTTCTACAAATCTACCATGACTGTTCTGTGATTTATATCACAATTTAATATCGATCTGTGACACAGTCCTAGCCCTCTGCACCAGCACTGTGGGAATATTCATTTACTATTGGTGGTACCTCCAGCTTAAAGAAAACTCTCAATTGTACAGCTGAAGTAAGATATATACATTATTGTTACAGCTACAGGTAACTGGGAAGTGTCTCTAAGAGTACAGATAAAGTGTGTAACACCTGGCAGTCTGAACATCTCCAGCTTCAAATAGAAATCTGCTGAGATGCAGGGGTTCCAGAGTCTGTAACCAAAGCAAATCATAAAGTTTACCTTGGTTTACCTTAGTTAGTATTTTGAGTAAATGATTAAGTGTCATCGAACAGTCCAAAACATACCACACAGCATAAGAAAGGAGGCTAAAAAGAAGGGGACAAGGGAAACAAGGTCAGACCACAAGAGAGAGAAAGAAGGAGTGGTGGGAAGTTGAATCTTGCAGGAGGCAATAGCCCTCACTTCAAAACCATCTGAACAAAACCTGATTAGAGCTAAGTATCTGAACCTTGCTATAGAGAGCCTGCTATTCTGTGTTTTAGGGATTTATAATTATTTAATAATTGCAGGATTATTACTTTATTCACCAAAGTTGTGGCAGAGAAGGAAGAGTTAAGTGGAAGTACAGCTTAGGGTTGTGAATAATAATTTTAGTTACTGACTTAACCACCTGGTCAATTCCTGTTATTCACCAATTTTGTCACACCCAATAATAACAGTATATATAGCACATATCCAGCATTGCAATATAACAGTTTATCCACATTGCGGAAGGCATTAGAATAATTACTAAGATCGGTTCATATAGCCTTTACAAAAATGACTGTTAAGAAAGGGTAAAGCTGACGGGCTTTAAGAGCTGCAGCAACTAATTAACTTTTACAAAGTGTTATGTGATTATTTCTATAATGTGATAAATTCCATAATCAAAGAGACAGGACAAACACTCAAAGGTGTGAAACAAACTTCTTTCTGAGCCTGTACTGTATATAAGAGCTGGGAAACCCTTGCAGTGTCTTTTTCTGAGGGACAGAGACAACACTGTGGTGCCACATTATTGAGCTGAATAAAACCTGAAATAACAGGAGGCTGTTTCCTGCACTTGTGATGAAAAAATTCCCACAACAAAGGCACAGAGGTTCCCTTTTTCCTCTGCAGTATTTGTGTCTCATTTGTAGGGTATTTATCTGTAGGGTAAAGCCCAGCCTGGATCAGACACACCTGTAGCGGCGAGGCTTATTAATAAGAAAGAATTAAGTGTTCTGAGCCTTCCCAAATGAGGCCCCATTTCTCTGTTCATCTCTGTGGTGCAGCCACAGAGAAACTATTCATGCAGGCTGATTTAAGGTTCCTTTGATAAAGGACAGCTCCCAAAGGGGGATGCACTTAGCTAAGCCTGGCTATCATGATCAATGGTCATCCATTGGCGCCTATCTGTCTAGGGAGTGCCAGATGGACATCTGGACTGCATTCCTAAGTGTCAGGAGTAAGTGACTCATATCTCACCTTCATCAACCAATCAGGGACTGGTAGGGCCAAATAACCCACGTGGGACTCTGATGCCCATGGAACTTTCAGCCAATCAACGAGCTGAAGTTCCTCCAGGTAAAAACAGGCAACACAGAGAGCCTGAGAGATTCAGTAAGATTCAGGAGAATTCTGTGGACTTTTCTAAAGGGAATTCAAAGGAGAATTCCAGGGCAGGACGGCCCAGGAGCAGAAGGCTCCCAAGGGCAGGACATTCTCGCAGCGCGCCTCCTGACCATCCTGAGACTCAGCCCGGACAACCACAGAACGGCCAGTGTGTCCGAGTGCCAGAACTTTCCTTTGTTCTAAGAGTCTAGAGCGGAGATTGCCAGAGAGTAACCAGAGGATCCACCCGAGGTTAGCACCAGCAGCAGGCCTCGTGAACAGGTCAGAACTGTGGACAGCTGAATCACTATTCAGAACTAGCTCTTCATCAGGAACGAACCGGTCCTCTTCCTGACTTGCTGGGACCCACAGTCATCTTTTCTCCTGTGCACAAACTCTTGCTAGTTTCAGCCAACACTAACTAGCCGGTCAGTGAGCATCAGCAGCGCACCGTTGCAAGCCGCACAGCACAGCCTGGCACTGAGCCAGAGAGCGCGGATTGGACAGCAACAGCCTGCAACTGTTTCTTTGTGCCCGCAGGAGATCTGAATCCCCAAAGATTGGATGAGTATTCAATTTCAATGCATTACAGCTCGAGAATTCAATTGTTATCCCAACCAGTTGATATCAATTTGATTCCTAAGAGTTATGTACTTGTTTCGAGTATCTAATGTAGAAGTTCTAACCAAGTTCATTTATGAAACGGTCGAAATGAATGATATACTGAACGTATGTCCTCTTGATATGTGTAACACTTCGTAACTGATCGAATATATATCTTTTGTATTCTGATAACCCTCTCGATAAGATCTGTTAGTTTTATATGCATATTTTATGTATTAATAAATGTATCCTCGTGTGTTAGTACCTGTGTGTGTGCGTCGTTTGAGTTATGTCGCATGGTTGGATTCTAAAGCCATCAAAAGAATCAATTTTGTGATTTACTGCTACAATTAATAATTGTCTCAGTAAACGCCCAAACCCTACAGAACTGGTGCCTTTAGAGAGCCACTACATTACATTTTGGCTATGGCAACGTTACACACCTCTGCAGTGACCAGCACCTCTCTCCAACTTAGCCTCTTAAACTATATGTGTTGATGTAGTTAAAGGTCACAGGAGACGATAAGCATAATGATTATTTGTAACAAGCAATATTGGAATAATCAGAATCAAATACTGTAGAACAGATAAGAACAAGGACAAATTGAAACTTACAAGCTGTCATTACAGTTATTGTGATCCATTGACAAAGAAATAAAGAAACAGTCATGCAGTGTGTGACCTTATCTCTCAGTTGATGTAACACACAGACAGGCAGAGTTACCAATAAACACAGACAATATAAACATCGACACAATTTGTAATGCGTTAGTATGGTGAGCAGATCTGAGTAGAAACATTACTATAAGATACTTAATGGCTGCAAGAACAAACATGGATTTAATTTTTAAGCCACTACTAATATTGAATTAGAATTAATAAGCTTTCCAAATTATTCAAAGCATTTCTGACTGGAACCATAGACTACTGGCAAAAAAGGTATAATACTTTTATTCTAATAGGAAAGTTATGAAACATGCATTGGAAACTGCAAATGAAATACGGTTCCCTGTCCTATACTACACAGGTCTATTGAAACACTTAACAATTACAAAGTCTGGAAGTTTCAGTGAGATGACAATTTACAGCAATGATGGACCAATTATCCATAAAGTTACTCTTCATGTGTGAGATGTATTACAATCACACTGGGGCTCATTTCCCAAAGACAAATGCTTCTGTGAAGGACTCCTGGATTGGAGAAACAACAGGTAAAGACTACAGTTTATGAATATTTGACTTCTTGCCAAGACTTGCCCACCCTTGGGAGGAAGTGGTATCTGTGTGTTCTGATGGAGCCCTGAGGATGAGAGGCGAAGATGAAAAACTAATGGATCTAATGAGATCCATTCCTTACATGTTTTATGTTTCCCTACATAATGCATGTCTGGCGGGACCATGACAACAGAACCTTGAACTCCAGACCCAAGACAGAAGGGCTAGGAACCCAAAGCTAGACAGGGACTGCAGGATCATGACCCTTAACTGAATATATTGGCCATGATTTTATATATTTATTGTATGAAATAATGAGGTACTATGAACTGATAAAAGCTCCTGACATATTTTTGAAGATGCAGTAACTACACAGAAGAAGTTCCTCAAACACATCCTCACAGCTCCCTGACCAGACAGCAACAGTGAAAGAGTCAGTACCTCAAACATCCTCTTACCTCTCAATTTCAGGGCCCAGTGCTCCATCTTCAGCCTCGGGCTCCCAAGACAGACTCATTTCAGCAGCTGCTCCCCTCCTGAGGATCAGCAGAGGGACTCCAGGACAGGGATCTGATCCAGACCAGTACAATCTGTCAACAAACAACAGAAAGTGAGAAACTCTCCCATTAACAACACTGACACACTTACACATTGTACTGTTCATTAACAACACTGACACATTCTCAGAGACTGTACTGTAGATTTATAACACAGACACACTCACAAGCTGTATTGCCCATTAATAACACTGACTCACTCTCACACACTGTATTGCTCATTAACAACAACGACACACTCACACACTGTACTGCCCATTAATAACACTGACACACTCTCACACACTGTACTGCCCATTAATAACACTGACTCACTCTCACACACTGTTCTGCACTTTAACAACACTGACACACTCTCACACACTCTACTGCTCATTTATAACACCGACACACTCACAAACTGTACTGCTCATTAATAACACTGACACACTCTCACACACTGTACTGCCCATTAATAACACTGACTCACTCTCACACACTGTACTGCTCATTAACAACACCGACACACTCACAAACTGTACTGCTCGTTAATAACACTGACACACTCTCACACACTGTACTGCCCATTAATAACACTGACACACTCTCACACACTGTACTGCCCATTAATAACACTGACTCACTCTCATACACTGTACTGGATTTTAACAACACTAACAGACTTTCAGAGACTTTACTGTAGATTTATAACACCGACACACTCACACACTGTACTGCCCATTAATAACACTGACACACTCTCACACACTGTACTGCCCATTAACAACACTGACTCACTCTCACACACTGTACTGCACATTAACAACACTGACACACTCTCACACACTGTATTGCTCATTAACAACACCGACACACTCACAAACTGTACTGCTCGTTAATAACGCTGACACACTCTCACACACTGTACTGCCCATTAATAACACTGACACACTCTCACACACTGTACTGCACATTAACAACACTGACACACTCTCACACACTGTACTGCTCATTAACAACACCGACACACTCACAAACTGTACTGCTCGTTAACAACACCGACACACTCACAAACTGTACTGCTCATTAACAACACCAACCGTGGAATAGCAGGAGAGCGATAAAGACCCTATATGTAGCGGCAAGACAGGAGTTAGCCCGGGTTCAGCTGTTCACGAGAATCCGTATAGAAACCTACTGGCTGCCCTCTGGCCAAGGACAGGAGTGACCTGGTGCTAGGCGGGTCTCAGGGCAACTGAACATCAATGCTGAGAGTAGCAGAGCAGAAGCAGGAAATAAATAGGCTACACAACAAGACACCAGAAAGACTTGAATAATCACAGGGAACTAGGAACAGAAGGAACGTAGAGCACCCTCTAGGTGTAATGAGCGTGACACCCCACCTTACAGAGGATGGTGTGAGGTCATTGCCACTTGGCCAGCAGCTTACTGTTCACTGAGGGAATCAGGAGCAAGACCTTCTGACCAGGCTTGTACCCCGGGTGGCGTGCTTTCTGGTCATACCAACATTTCTGAGCCTGCTGGGCTTCTTTTAGGTTCCCTTGAGCCTCCTTCTGATACTTTGTTAGGTGGTCTCTCATTTGCAGTACATATTGCACAATGCCTTTCTCCAAAGTTGTGACAAGAGTTGCTTCCCAGGTCTTCCTCAGGAGATCCAGAGGTCCTTGGACAGTCCACCCATACAAGAGCTCAAAGGGGGAGAACCCAGTAGAGGACTGTGACACTTCTCTGTATGCAAAGAGAAGGAATGGCAACTACTTCTCCCACTGTGTCAGAGACACTATACCTGTGTCAGAGACAAACATCCTCAGTATATTTTTGAGGGTTTGGTTAAAGCAGTCAATCAGGACGTCTGTCTGTGGGTGATGGGGACTGGTCATGATAGCAGTGATGCCAAGCTGCTTGTGGAGCTGACCCATCAGTTGGGATGTAAAGTTGGTTCACTGGTCAGTGATTATCTCAATCAACTTCAATACCCATCCTGGAAAATAACCACACCAGTGCCCTTATGATCTTCGGTGTTGTGATGGAGCGAAGTGGAAGGGCTTCTGGGAATCAGGTGGCATAATCACATGCAACCAGTATATATTGGTATCCTGTATGGCTTTTCTCTAAAGATTCCACTATATCCATTGCAAAGCACTTGAAAGGAGTGGAGATCACTGGTAACAGATACAATGGAGCTCTGTCAGATCTATGGACAGCACTTGTTTTTTGACAAACTGCACAACTAGCACAGCATTTTTGAGCATCAGTGTACATGGTGGGCCAATAAAAACATGAACTGATATGCATGTACTGTATGTCTTCTGCTGTCCTAGGTGACCTGCCCAGAGGATTGTGTGTGCAAGGTAAAGCACTATTGGTATAAATATTTTATATATTTTATGTATATTAGCCAGCAGCCATATCACCCTGCAACTCACAACTGGCAACCCACTGAAGCTAAGCAGG